AAACAAAGTCATCTTTTACCTTTAGATAATTATTCTTTTTGGTGTGACAAGATTTTTGCTTTATGGCAACTCAAGTAGAAGTTGAAGCCCAGCCAAATAGGCAGTAAATATCTTCCCAAAAAGCGAAAGGAAGAAACCAAAATGAATATATCTAGTTTAACACCCCCTTAAACAAGGAGCACTGTTTGTACATGGGTCGACATCTTTTTAGTGCTCATAATTAATGATATATACTCTATTTTTTATTTCAGAAAAAAAAAAAAAAAAAACAAAAACAAGGAATGTTGGTTAATCTATGTACAACAAGGAGTAATCTTTAAAGGTGTAGCATGGCCCAAAGAGAAGCCAAAAGGACATCTTATCCCTAAAAGCTAAAAATGGAGAAACTTGATCATTGAAGATCCTAAAGTTCCTTTCAACCAAATCATCCACAAATCGATGAAAATACTCCTTTCACGATACCCAACTCTAACTTACCTCTTTCCAGGACTTGTAAGGACATAAGATGGACCCCCTTAAAAGATTACCAAGGACAAGACAAGCCAAACCAAAAATATCAAAACATTGAAACCACAACATTCAGGGCAGATCACAGTGCAAAATGAATTGAGTTCATTGTCTGCAGCCCGAGGAGATATGATGCATATACTTGAAGATGAAGCAATGCAGTTCGAGAGTTTGGAGCAATTGTTTAGTATTCAACCTATCTAAGGTTGTTGTATAAACAAAAACTTTGACCCTAAAACCCTCCAAACAGTTCAGCTTTTCTGAAGAAGTTTTATTAGAGAGGGAAAGAAGAATGAAAAATACAATCAAGGAGAATAAGACATTCTCTTCAAAGTAGCAAAAATAAAGAAGTGCAAACAAACAATGTTCTAGCTGCTGGAAATAAAAGCTTCCCAATTTGGATGGAGGTCACTGATGCTAGTGGTGGAATAGTATCCATGTGTCTTAACCCATAATGTTGCAAAAAAAGTGGCCTTATCCCACAACTCTTCGGAAGGTGTAACCCTAAAGATCCTACTATTTCTTCCCAGCCAAATGCTCCTCTTTGTAGCGGTTTAGCCTCAACAACCACTCTTTCTCCCTTAAGAGAACAACTCGTGAATTGTACATGGGTGGACATCTCCTTGGTGCTTGTAATTAATGAATACACATTATACTTTTTATTCAAAAAAAAAAAAAAGAAAAGAAAAAAAAGCTCATGAAACTCTCTACTGTAGGAAGGGTCACCCAAAAGTACCAAAAATCTTTATCAGTTTTTCCCAGAAACTCCAAGATGTATGACAGTTTAACAACAGGTACGAGTGCGTCTCTCAGACATACATGTGGAGACAAGGCTCAGTGAGGTCGGCGGATGTGGAGCATCTTGTTTGTGTTAAGCTTACCCAATGGGTGGCAGTCCAAGAGAACTATTATAGCATCCCAACTGTTCTGTTGCAGGCTGAACTTACTGTTAATCACCTTGTGTTAGAGAGACTTAGGTTCCAAAGGAAATCACCGTAACCATTTAGCCAATAAAGACAAGTTTTTACAAAAAAAACTTCTAGTATTTGGGCCCTGCTCAATCTTCAACAGCCGACAAATTTCTGAACTAATTAAATGATCCCTAGAACTCTTGCTCGGCCTTAACTGGAAAAAGAATTTTCATCACTCTCTCCAAGCTCTCAGCAATGCTCTTGGGAATCTTAAACAGGGTAAGATAATAAAAGGGAACACTAAGAGATATAAGACTAACTGTATCTCCCAAAAGAAACAAGGGTGCCTTTCTGTTTTTTAAGGTTGCTTAGATATCTTATGAACCACTGGATCCTAGAAAGAAACTGTCCAAAGGATGCCCCCCAGAGGAAGTCTTGAATAGATAAAAGGCCACACTAAACCATTGCAACCAATTGAATCAGCCACCCTTCTAATACTCTCGTCCTCCACATTAAATCCTCGCCAAACCACCCTTACTAAGATTAATCAACAAACTTGAAATTACAAGTGAGCAAAAGAATATGTCATCACATGCCGAATCGCCCTTTGGTCTCTCCAAAATGTACCACCCTCAAGCTCAAGTCCCTTAACATAGTTCCTTCTCCTCTTCCCATTAAGTACGCCATAAAACAGCTGAAAATTTAATGTTTTGAGTACATATAGGAGCTCCAAGAAAGTTATATCTACCCTTTACATTTCTTTTTCGCCATTGCTCAATTTGAGGGTGGAAGACAACTGTCCTTTCTCTTCGAGGAGAACTCTTGGGTTGACAATATCTCATTTGCCTCGTGGTTCTTTTCCTTCGAGACACATATTTCTTCTATTTCTTTCCTAGATCATTCTGCTGATTTGAGTTCTTGGATGTGTTTTCTTTCCCCAGAAACCTCAATGATCAGGAAGTTGATGATATAATTTCCTTGATCGACTCCTTGATTCTGCAGCCCTAATTGCCAGAATTTGATCTTGGGATTTCTTGGGCAATTTTACTTTCAAGTTCTATTTTGCCATGACTCATAACCCTTCAACTCAAAACGATGTCCCTAATAAATTGTTCAGAAGGTTTTTATTCCACATAGTGTAAAAGTTGTTGTTTAGGTTGCTCTTTTCGGTAGTCTGAATGCTATTAGTTTTGCTTCAAGCTCGTAAACAGAACTGTGCTTAATCCGTGAAGGTATTCGTTATGTGCTACGAAGCTACTGAGACTAATGGCCATCTGCATGTGATTTAGCCTGGAGAATTTAGTCTCAGATATTTGTTTTTTTTGTTGCATCTTGAGCTTCTCCTGGTAATCTTGAGGGTTTTCTCTCTTTTGTATTTCTTGGCTTTGGCAAGAAAAAGGAGATTGAGGCTTATTTGTGCGAGGCTTTCTTTCTTAGTTAGGTTTTATTTTGTTGGAGTGAAACACAACAATCCTAATTTTGCTTCTTTCCGGGTAAGATTATTCTTTCTTGATGTTGCATAGAGATTGGCCGACTATCCATTTTTAAGGGTAGTTGAATTTTCTCCTTTTTCTTTCTTTCTTTCTTATTCCTGCTGATAAGAATTATCAGCTTATTTTTAAAGGGTGGTTGAACTTTCTCCTTTTTTACCCGTCATTTGCTGTATTCTTTTTTCTCTATCCAGTAACAAACATGAAACCAAAAGTCTATCCTAATAAAGATACGGGATAATAATAGTAACTGCAAACATATTTTCATCACAAAAATCTTCTAATTTTAAGAGCTCATTCTGCATCATTTTCCTCTTATTGGTGAAAACTTGACCTAGGTTTTTGAAGTGAAAAAGCATTGAGACTGCTGAGGTTAGGGCATAATTTCAAAAAGTTGAGATGGCACTTATAATGGAAAACTGGAAGTTAGCCAAAATTTGATTATAGTTTATGCATCCCATTTTTTCATGATCACAATTTAATTATCTTGCTTTGGTTTGTTTTCTCAAGGGAAATGGCACTTGAAGGACTTTTTCTTAAAGATGAAGGCCATGACATGAGTTCAAATCATGATGTTAAGTTCCCAAAACTTGGTGACATGCTAGAATATATTCTCAAGCAGCAGCCAAATTTGTTAAAATTTTCTGAAACAAGAGATCATAGACTTATTTTTCCCTCAAAGATGTACTTGGTTGTTATTAAATTTTTATCGAAGTGCTTTGAGTCAGAATCAGAGTATGACAACTCCATTGTGGAAAAAATGTATTTACTGCTAGAGCATGCTATGGCTTTTGAAGGCTCTTCTGAGTTGCATGCCACTGCCACCAAATTGATGGTTAGCGTAGGAGCTTGTCTTCCAGAGGTTTGTTAGTACAATATTAAATCCTAGCTGCTTTCTTCTTGCGTAAATCTGTTTTTTAAAATATATATTTTATTATTTTTATACAGATAACATCAGCTCACTATTCCCTTAGAATTTCTTGGCTAAAGCAATTGCTTAGTCATGTGGACTTGGATACTCGTGAATCTGCAGGGCGCTTACTTGGCATAGCTTCCTCTGCTCTTCCTAATTCTGAAGCTTCTGCTCTTCTTTGTGAACTTGTCTCCTCTGTTAGTGGAATACACAAGTTAAAGTTCGTACTCCATGCTTTATCTGGGTTACTTTGATATCTGCAATATATATGTCCTTTTAGTTGTTAATTGCTTGACTGGTGATAATATATTTTTAGGTATGAGGCACAGCATGGAGCATTATGTGCAATAGGATTTCTTGCTGCTGATTGCTGTTCAAGAACTCCTGCTGTAAGTGGTTGTGCTTCTGTGACCACTGTTGGTTGTTGTTTTATAAATATAGAGATATGCCAACTGTTCTTCCTGCTTGTTAGCTGCAAAGTTCATATTTCTACTACCACCTACCCTTGTATCTGACATCATTGCATTGTGGCAATTGAATATCTTCTGATGTATGTAGTATATTTTATCTTCTGATGTATTTAGTATATTTTACCTTTTGTACTTTTTCCAGATATAAGTTTGCAGTTCTTCTCCTTCATGTGTCTAAATTTGTAACATCCATCTCCGCTCTTAACTCTTAAGTCTCAAATTAGACCAGCTGGCTTCATAATTTAAACGAACTGACATTTATAAGATGGCTGTTATTGATAGTTATTGATAAATATCACTTATTATTTGGATAATAATTCCTGGAGGCCATGGATGGCCCCTTCGTTTCTTATTGTCTTCAGTTGTTTGTTTCTCTAAAGTAACATTTAACCAACTACTTTTTTGAAGGAGATAAAATCAGTTCATGATTCAGTGTGTTTTCCACTTCTCTTTGGAATATGATTTCTACCTTGATCTGAACAAAGAGAAATGTTTAGGAGGTCCATGATTATAGGGGATTCGTTTTGCAAGTAAAGCACATTGCAGAACAATGTATAGCATTTTTTTCAATATTGTAATTATCAGGCTCAGTTTTTATATATCTTCCTTTTCTATAGAAAAATATGAGTGTCTGTTTATTTTAAGCAAGTTTATACACTTTTTTAGGTTTTCCTGGTTGTTGAAGGGATCTAGCATAATAAAGCATTTGGTTAAGGGTGTTTTAGATGTTACCAGAGTTTAAATCAGTAAAATACTGACAATTTTATAAGAACAAGAAATAAAGTTAATTCTATTTCAAATAAAATTTTTTATAGTATAATTAATAAAAAAAAAAATGAAAATTTCGGCTGTTGGCTAGGTTGGCTGCTCGCATAATAGTTTCAGCTTGTCAAGTTGCCAGATAGCAGTGTGGCAGTTTCATGCCCAGGTTTGGCCTAGCAGCTGATCTATCACATGAGGTTGCTTCTGCACATTGCCAATAACTATAAGGCTCAGTAACCAATTACCATTCCATGGCACCTTGCACTTTTGGCTCTTCCAAATTTGCTAGGGGGCAACCTCAAGACTTGGTGTAGCATTGACCTAATCTGCAGTTGAAAGATTTGTGTTTAGTTGATTGTAGGAAGATACAATAGAAAAGTGATAAAAACGTTGTTGAAAATGTTTTGTTTTTACTTTTTTAAAAAGAAAAATTTGTTTGAAACTTCCGAAATAATTTTGCTTAAACTTAAGGAAATGATAAATAACTTGGCGAAGTGTCTCAGGTTCCTCTTTTGTCTCTATATTGGTCACAGCTGGGGCCATGCAGTTTTCCCTTATCTATATTATCTCTATGAGTAAGTAGAAATATTTGTTGATTAAAATTTTCAGTTTAATCCTTGCTTTTCCTTTCCTTTAGGTAATATTTATTTGATTTCATTACTACAGAATTTTATGTTTCTATATTATGATTTAGGTGTCTAAACTTAATTATCCATACAGATCCCTGATACAGTGTTCCAGAATACACTTAAATGCCTGATGGATGTTGTTAATTCTGAGCCTGCTTCTCTGGCTTCTGTTGCAATGCAAGCTCTGGGTCATATTGGGCTGCGTACACGGTTACCTCCACTTGTTAATAATACTAGTCAAGGTAACATTATATCTATGCCATTGGCATGTGCAGCCACAATGGTTTTCACACTTTTGCCTAAACGTGGATCGGGAAATTGAATATTTTATTATTGAAACTGCAGTTGAAGTCCTTGTAGCTTTACATGAAAAGTTGAGAAAGCTAATTTCTGGCGATGACATGAAAGCAATTCAGAGAGTTGTTATCTCCCTCGGACATATAGGTGTAAAAGAAGCATCATCTTCACAGCTAGATGTTGCTCTTGATCTGATTTTTAGTCTTTCTCGATCAAAGGTGCTGAGATTATATATAACACAAACACATGTGCAAACATACACTTAAATAAAGCTCAGCTTATTCTTCATAGTGCTTTCTACTATTAAAAGTGAATGCTTCTGTGGGTGCTTCATTCCCTTGAGATTGTAAAACAATTGAAAAAACTTCTAACATCTGCAAATTTTGGAGGTCACAGGTAGAAGATATCTTGTTTGCTGCTGGGGAGGCTCTATCATTCCTATGGGGTGGTGTCGCTGTCACTGCTGATGTGATTCTCAAAACTAACTATTCTTCGCTGTCTATGGCCTCAAACTTTCTTATGGGGGATGTGAGCTCGTCCTTTTCAAAATACTGCTCTAATGGAAAATGTGAGACTGATGAGGACTGTCATGCCATGGTTAGAGATGTCATTACTAGAAGACTTTTCGATGGTCTTTTGTATAGCAACAGAAAGGAGGAGCGCTGTGCTGGAACCGTTTGGCTACTCTCTCTAACGATGTATTGTGGCCATCAGCCAACCATCCAACTGATGCTCCCAGAAATTCAGGTTTTCTTTTAATTATCAAAGCAGTTATCTTGCTCCTTCCCCCCTTTCCAACTGGTAAATCAGTTACTTCCTGGTCTAACAATCTCTTTTTTGGTTTTCACCAGAAGAGGAAGAGAGTTTTGCTAGCTTGGAAGATTCTTTTGGATAATGAATATTTTCATTGTAGAATAGATTTTAATACAAGGATAAAAAAGAAAAGTTTCCATCCTAGCCTGGATTATCTGGGTGCCAGCCAGTTCGAGAAAGCTACCTAAAGGCAAAAGCTCAATAAACTGCACATGTTGCTTTTAATCCTCAAACGATAATAACCTTGATAACCTCATCCCTTGGTGTTAGTGGGTCAAGATAGCTTGCTGGCTTGAACTGTAAACAAGATTAACTTAGTTGAGAATTTTAAATAGGAGACCTCATAATGCTCTCTCTCTCTCTCTCGATATTAGTTTGATGTGTTTCCTTATAGCTGCTCAGTTCTTCAGTCTCCTCTGGCATGAAAAGTATGGTCTATGTTTTTTTGCATGTTTGGAGAACTTTGGGTCTGCCCTATAATTTTGATATTTTGTCTTGACTTATATACATAGTGATGTGGAGGACTAAGATTTTGTGGAGAACAGCTATCTTTGCCAGTTTATAGTTCATTCAGTTGGAAAGGAATAATCATGATTTTTAAGCGATTAATTGGCTTATGTAGTTTGGTATAAGGTTTGATTCCTTCTAGAGAAATGCCCATGGTTTCTTTTGGGGGATGTCTTTACCTTCTTTGCTAAGAGATTGGTCCGTCTATTCTATCATGATGTTCTTTATTCTGTTATTTTGTTTTTTGCTTGGAGGATATCTTATCCTCTCCGTTCTTTTGTACATGGTTTTTCGCATCTCCTTAGTGCATGTAATTAATAGAATACATGCTTTTTTAAAAAGCATCTGATCCTCTCATTTGTAGCAAATTTCTCTCTCTTTAGTAGTATTTCTTCTTTTATAAAAAGAAGTATTCTTTCCAATTTTCACTTTTTTTTTTTCTCGTCACGTGATCTTATTTTCCAAAACTAAATGGAAAGGGGAATGCCAAGTATCAAATTTTTAGGATTCTAATGTAATCTGTTTGTTCTTTCTTGTGTACTATAGAACTATGATTTCTATAAGATCTAAAAGAATTTGTTATCCCCCGAATTCAGGGTATGCATTCGTAGTACTTATTCGGACATTTGATTGGCCAGTTTTTTTTCAATCATACTTGATAATGTTATCGAGGCCTTTAGATATCAACTTTTTAAGAAGTTTCTAACTAATGCAGGAGGCCTTTTCGCACCTATTAGGGGAACAAAATGAACTTACACAAGAGCTGGCATCACAAGGCATGAGCATTGTCTATGAACTTGGTGATGCGTCAATGAAAAAAGGCTTGGTAGATGCACTTGTAAACACTTTGACTGGTAGTGGAAAAAAGAAAAGAGCTATCAAGGTAAAAAAGTGCTATGATATGTCCTCTTGTTGGTAAGATAATTCTGTTTTTATCGCGTGTCAATTTGACAAACTAGGATATTTGTTGAGTAGCTTGTTGAAGACTCGGAGGTGTTTCAAGACGGGGCTGTTGGTGAGAGTCCAAGTGGGGGCAAACTTAGCACTTACAAGGAGCTTTGTAGCCTCGCAAATGAGATGGGCCAACCTGACTTGATTTATAAATTCATGGATTTGGCTAATTATCAAGCTTCTCTTAATACAAAGAGAGGTGCTGCTTTTGGGTTTTCCAAGATAGCCAAGCAAGCTGGGGATGCTCTTCAGCCACACTTGCGTTTGTTGATTCCAAGGCTCATCCGTTACCAATATGACCCTGACAAAAATGTGCAGGTAAGTATGTTTCAACGATGTTGTGGTTTACTTATTGCTCTTGTGTTATTAATAGTTTCTGAAGTATCCTGTGTGATACGCGCATTTGATAAAAATTTTCACATGCCAAGTCTTAAATTCCTAGTGACGTACATGAATTACATATATATATATGTATATATTTGTTGGTATTTGTGCGTTTACAGGTTTGTTGACTCACATTTTCTCTAAAAAATAGTTTTCGGAAGAGTCTAGAGAAAGAAAGTTGACAGTTCTCTTGCGGTGAGTGTGTATCTTTTACATTTTTTCTAGCTGGTTTTCTGGAGTGCTAGTCCTTTCCCAAAGAAGTTTTGTGGTAATAGAAATAAGTCTTTTGATCTGATATTGGATAGGGAAATTTAGGACTTTTCTAAAGGAGGAAAAATAGTTGGATTGACATGGTGGAAATTTAGGACTTTTTTTAAAGTTAACAGCATTCTTGCGGTTAGTTTGTGTTTTGTACATTTCTTCTAGCTGATTTTCTGCCTCACCATTCTTTTCACCAAAGAAGCTTTTGGTAATAGAAATTTATGACTTTTTTTAAGTTGACGGTGTTCTTGCAGTGAGTGTGCATTTTGTACGTTTCTTCTAGATGGTTTTTTAACATGCCATTCCTTTCAGGAAAGAAATTTTTGGTAATAGAAATGAAGTCTTTGATGTGATCCTGGGCGAGGAAATTTAGGGCCTTTAAAGGGTGAATGATAACTGGATCCACAGCCATTTTTCTTTTTCCATCATTTTAGCTCAGGGATTAACTAGTTCTCTGAAGTCCTTTGTTCATTCTTCTATGTAAGAGATCATAATTATTGGATTTGGAAAGACAATGCCATAATTCTTCATTGAGAAATAATGATGCAGAATGAGAAGAACTTATAAATTTTCTTCAAAAGAAGTTTTTTTAATTATTATTATTTTATGTTTTAAAAATATTAAGGTTATATAAGTTTTTTTAGGCGTTAAAATATTTTAGTTTTGGATAGATTTTAAACATTATAGGAATTATAATCTTTCAGATTTCTTTTATAATTTTCTTTATTCATTGAGACATTATGATATTTTAGTTTCCTTTTAGGTAAATTTTAAATATTATAGGAATTATGATTTTTTATACTCTTTTATAAGTTTCCTTATTCATTGTAACTGAAATCTATATAAAGATTAGTAGTTACCAATGAAAAAGAAAGAACGATGATGAATTAAGAATTCTTTTCACAGATTACAGTCAATTTTTGTGTAGATCAATTTTAACTCAACATAGAATCCAATAAATCATATAATCTACCTGATTACATGTGATGTATTGTACTAAGTTTTTGATCCTATGGGAAACATAGAGAGTATTGAGATCCATCTACAACTAATTTTGTAACGGCTCCATAAATTTAAATGAAGATGTATGTATTAAAAATTTTAAGTGCGGAAACGAAATAAAAATTCTGATTAACATCCCTTACACAATAACCATAAACGTATTCAACGTATGAAAGAATAAGGTAATTAAAAAAAATACTCGAAATAAAAACTATAAATAGAACTATAAGATCTTTAGGCGTCTAACTCGCCGTCTTCTTGCGGAACGGGTTCGGGAACCACGTCTTCCTGATCTGAAATGGTTAAGTAAGGAATGAGTTACGCTAACCCAGTAAAGACATCACACTATCTCATTGCCACAGAAGTAAAGGTTGATAGAAAACAAAAACGACCAATGGAGCATAATTTATAACAAACTCATTTATTAATAATAAAAACCTTTACTGTCCACTTACTTCGGTGAGATTCGTGAAAATAACATATAGAAACAATAACATTATAACCATCATAAAATCATATACATTTTGTAACATAACACATGTTATACTTTTGCACTTCAATAATTAAACAACAAATTTCCTCTTTTATCAGCCTACTAGTATCAATGGGGATCCATAGGGGGTCCCCGCAACACGTGAACCATTAACATTTCATAACCTGTTCGGTATGGGCGCTAAAACCATGAAGCTCAATATCCCGTCCGGTATGAGGGTAAAACGGGCCGTCCCCATACCCCGTCCGGTATGGGCGCCAAAACCATAAATCTCAATATCCCGTCCGATATGAGGGTGAAACGGGCCGTCCCCATACCCCGTTCGGTATGGGCGCCAAAACACATAAGGTCTCCATACCCTATCCGATATGGGAGACCACGTTCCCGGTAGGGTTCCCTACGGATCCGGTCCGTCCACTATCTCCCAGAATATCTAGTTAGGCTGTCCACATTATCCATTTATCAATTTAGATAACATTTTTTCCATTTTCCTTGGTCTCAATTTTTCAATCATACACAAACACGTAAACCAATAATGAACACCAAACAAAACAATACAATATCGGGTTCACCATAATTCAAAACATAATAAAAGAAATCATGATTCATGCATACGAGATCATAAAATAAATACATCAAATACCATACTGCATTTAAAACTGAAACATAGATTAAACAACAACTGACCGAAAAATACATCAGATTCGGGCTCCATTAGTAACCTAAATTAATTATACACATGTATTAATTCATGAAATATCGTTTTATTATTTATTGAGCTTTAATATCGTGATAGGAAATAGGGTGAGAAATTCTTACTTATTTCGGGGTCTGAAATCGGCTCTACAATGCGCCTATGGGCTGTTCTTAAATTCTCTGAATTTTCCTCGGGAAACTGAAACGCACTACCAGTACCTGCACATGTCCCAAAAAACTCCAAATCAGACCCAATCCTCTTTTCTGCCAATATCGAAATTCCGGCACGGCGGCTCCACCGTGTTCCAGTGATCCGCCCCGGGTTGGCCGTTTTCGACCAAACTTGCATTGGTTCCTGCGATAAAACAACCCTAGAGCTCTCGGTGGGCCAAAAAATCACGAAAAACCGAGACTTACCGGCGGCGGAGTTCTCAAGTGCGGCGGCTTCTCCGGCGCGAGTCGCGGTTTGATGTTTTGCTCCGGTTAA